AAAAGTAGTGATAGTTTTACATAGATGATATAGTTCATTGATCGTTGCAAATTGTCTAATGCTTTTAATACTACTTCACGTACGCTAAATCATTATTTTCTTATTTCCTCTTCTTTAATATCACCTTCACATTTTAACACCGGAAAATAATCAGTATTCTAAAAGATACAATCTGTGGGTAATACAAGAGTGCAAAGAATGCCATTATTAATAATTTTATGCACAAAATTTGACAAGCGTATTTGTTTATTTACATGAGAATCTCTACGCAATGGCGCTAGTACCTCGGACTGCAGGAAAATCAATAGCTTCGTAAAGCAGCAGAAATAATGTCCCCTCCTTTCGACCTGAATCACTTCGCGATTTCGATGTTTTTCTGCCTCATGAACTGGAATTATTTTTAAGATTGTAAAGTATCAGTGGAGGATAATTTAATGATTGTAACAATCTATTGACTGCCATCGCCCTGAAAGACTGACTTTTATCCATTTGATTCTCGGGTTAATACTTTATCCGCGCGCTCCAGACAGCTGGAGTACCTGGCCACCTCATACGCCCCCATAATTTGACCCACCTGCCCTTGCACCCTTCTAGAATATTTAATATAGTACAACTTATAGAATTGAAAAAAATTATCTCCAACTGTTATAGATTCCAAAATCCAACACACGGTTCAAATAAAAAAAAAGATCAATACGAAACAACTAAACTTTTTTTCAATGAGATCAGCATTTCACAACTCATTTCGTTTAGTTAATTTTTTGTTTAATTTTGTGGCATAATTTGTTAATTCTAAACAAAATGTAATGAATTTATTATGAAGAAAAAGTTTGATGGAGATGAAACCGCAATTTGCATTTTGAGCAATCAATTTTTGCTACCATTATTTATTTGAAAGAATATGAATTTATACTGTGAGGTAATTGTATGTAAATATTCAGTGTACACGAATTTTGTGCAATTGTACTAAAATTGAAAATTCCTGGAAGAAATATTGTGAGATTGGAGAATTATCAATCAATCGGAAATCATCAAACGCGAAGGGATGACTTCATTATTTCATCATCACCTTGAGTTGCACAGGATGATGCTAGATTATTTGTTAAAAACATTGTTCGCGGTACATACGAAATATCAAACCTTACACGTCGACATTATGTTTCATTATATTAAAAAAAAAATAAAATTGTTAATAATATTTTGAATGAAAACCGAGAGGCTACTCAACCCCGAAGTCATGGTGCTACTCTATGGCGAAGACATTCCGAATTCACACTGAAATCATTTGAAGTCACACCGAAGTCTTGAAATCACATCGAATTTATTCAAAAAATCAACAAAATCAACAGATTCCAAATATTTAAACCCCTCTCGATTTTGGAACTTGATTTATTGTGAATTCAGCAACTTCATTGCAACTGAAATAATTGATTTCGAATCTATGAAATTATTTGAAGTTAATTTCAGTCAAGTCCGATTAAGAATCACTTGAAGTCATTGACTTTATTTTTCTCGAAGTGGCTGAAGTTTGGGAGTCATAGGGTCATCCAATTAGGGAGTGAGTAACCCCTCGATGAAAACGACAAAAAAATGCGGAAAGAAGATTTTCTTCCACAGAGATCCTGGATTATGCGAAAAGATTGGGAATCAATCCGGATACTGAGCCACACCTACTTGATTTGGCACGTGAGGGTTTGATGGCAGCCTTACCGGATGGCTGGCGACCATGTTTTCACGAACCTCAGGATGCTTGGTACTATTACCATGCTCCAACTGAAACAACAACATGGGAACATCCATTGGATGCCAAATACAAAGAACTTGTCGAGCAAGCCAGAGCCGAACGCAATAA